AATGTCCTGCACAGGCTTGTGTGGCTGAGGATGTGAAATGTCCTGCACAGGCTCTCGTGGTTGACCACTTGGAGTGGGACCTTTAGGAGGTAGGATCTATCTGAAAGGAATGGGTTGCTGGTGGGGGTGGAGGTGACCTTGGGGGTTATATCCTGTCTCTGCTCCAGCAAGAGCTCTCTGCTTCCTGTTTGACCCCTTGTGACAGTGCCTCGTGGCTCTGTTGCTTCAGGCTGAGGCCTGGGTTATACCTTTCCTTTGAACTGTGAGCCAAAATAAGCTCCTCCTTCCTTCCCTAGTTCTTTCTGGGAGGTATTTGGTCCTAGTGAAGAGAAAGGTAACTCACACAACACACTTCTAAAAGTTACCAGAGGTGGGGCTGGAGAGATGGCTCAGTGGTTAAGAGAACTGGCTGTTCTTCCTAGAGGACCCAGGTTCAATTCCCAGCACCCATATGGCAGCTCACAGCTGTATGTAACTCTAGCTTCAGGGGATCTGACACCCTCATGCAGGCAAAACACCAATGTACATAACATAAATAAAAGTTGCCAGTGGGCGTAGATGGGAGCTGGGCTAAAGGAAAAGCATGATAGTGTTTAATCCTTCACTTGACCCAAACCCATGGGAATAAGGGACCTGGATGGTAAGGTGTTGAAGAATGAGAAATAAAGAAGACAAAGCTAGGACCAGGAGATTGCTATGTCAAGCAAGTTTATCTAGTACAGCATCTTATGTACTATTTGTAGGAGGAGAAAGTCAAGGTCAGCAGAGAGCTAAGTCAGACAATGTTGACAAAGAGAACACAGATACCTCAGACACCTCAACAGCCTTAGGACTGATAACCATAGCCCTTGAGTGGAGAAAGTTGAGTTCCTGGGAATGGAAACCTTAATTCCTTGGAGGCCCCAGACCAGACCAAGCCCTGGCCCCTGCCCTGGCCCTAGACTGGACCTTACCAAGTCTACCTATGAGCAAGGACACAGAACTGGTGTTCCCTTTGTCTTTCATCAAGGCCTCTGAAAAAGCCTTGGATCAGTCTGGCTCCCAGAATTTAATGGATTTAATGATGGTGTCTGCCTTTAATCCTAGCACTGAGAAGGTAGAGGCAGGTGGATCTCTGTGAGTTTAAGGCCATCCTACTCTACATAGTAAGTTCCAGACCAGCCAGAACTACATAGAGAGGTCCTGTTTCCAAAAGAAAAACAGGAAGGAAAGAAGAAAATAGTATTGATAACTCATGCTTCCTTTCAGTAACTGGTAATAACTATGATACAAGGACACATCACTTTGAGCAGAGGAATCCTTAGGCTAAGTAACAGAAATGAGAGAATGAAGTGAGCATGTGTTGCCAGGCTCTCCTATGTATGGATTGTTAGTTCAGTTTTGACCTTGGCAGTCGTTCACATCAGCTTCTGCTGCCCAAAAGGCTCTGGGGCCCTTGCATTTAAATTTTGAGAAATTATTGGTATAACCGTGGAATAAAAAAATTGATAGAAGACACAGAGCATATTACATCTTGGTGGCAGGGTGTACAGGTCAATAGGAGGCTCACATTTCAACATCTGACACTGGCAGTGTGTGAAGCCCTCTCTGTGTGGGACCAGAGTTCTGTGGGTAGAGCTAAGGGAGGAAATCCTGACAGTGTGTCACTGCTGTCTCTACTCAGCATCTTCCACACAGAATGTGCCATCGCCCCTCCTCCCACCCACATCTGATGACTGTGCCATCATCACCCCCACCATCCCACAATCCTCAAGGCTCCTTCTAAGTCCTCCAGCTTCGTTCCTGCCCCTTGACCCGAGCTCAGGTCCTTCTGTCTTCACTTGCTGCCATAACGACCTCACTGTCTTCCCAGCTCCGTGCCCATATGAGTTTGAGGGAACGATGGATGCTCTCCTAAATCTGCTCTGTCAATCAGTAGAGGATGAAGGGCTTAGGGTGGACCTGGAGAAGCAGAAGTTAGAAATGATTGTACGAATTCATCAGGCTTTGTATGAGATGGAACACCAGAACGTAAGGACATTGGGGAGCAGATCTGCTACCGTGAATGAATAGTGAGGAAACACACCTGATAGTCCGTCCCTTGTTTTGCCAACAGAATCTTAGTCTTGATTCTGGGGATGTGGAAAATCTCCTTCATGAGCAGACACCCCTGATGCCTTTGTACAGGCGGCTGATCTGCTAATGGATACCATTAGCCTGCAGGTCAGCCTTGTGTAGTATCAGCTGCAGAGATGGGAGTGGATCTCACACCAGCTGCATGCAGAACATCAAGGGAATTTTTAATGTGTCTCCACCCATACCCTGACTCTGCTCCATTCGAAACTCTAGCACTGGAGGTTTGGCTCAGAAATCTATTCCCATCAAAGACTCATGGAGTGGCAGATAATAAATGCACAGGGGGAGTCAGAGGCACCATAGTGAGTGGACTGTCTTATCATAGAGGCTCCTGGGCTTCCCAACAACCCTTTGTTCCATCCACATTATGGGCATGTGCTGTCTCCCTGGGTTGATGCTGCAGTAATAAGGAAGAGGAGAGTGAATTTCAGAATACATAAGTGAAGGTATTTGTGCTGATGACACTATGAAAGTTCAAGTCCAGGTGGGTGTGTGGTGAGCCACCATGACACAACCACAAGGAAGGGTTGTTGTTGTTGGTGGTGGTGGTGGTGGTGGTGGTGGTGGTGGTGGTTTGGTTTGGTTTTGGTTTTGGTTTTTTTGTTTTTTCGAGACAGGGTTTCTCTGTGTAGCTTTGGAGCCTGTCTTGGAACTCCCTCTGTAGACCAGGCTGGCCTCGAACTCACAGAGATCCGCCAGCCTCTGCCTCCCGAGTGCTGGGATTAAAGGCATGTGCCACCACCACCGCCCAGCTAAAAGGAAGGTTTTTATGCCAATGACCTTCCTAAAAAGATATTTAAGAAGTTTATAGAATTAAACCATGGATAAAACAGGAAGTTCAATTAAACATCATTAAGATGGGAGAAAAAAAGCCAGGAGGTGGCGGGACATGCTTTTAATCCCAACACTTGGGTGGCAGAGGCAGGTGGATCTCTGTGAGTTCAAGGCCAGCTTGGTTCACAGAGCAAGTTCCAGGACAACTAGGGCTACACAGAGAAACCCTGTCTTGAAAAACAAAAACAAACCAACAAAAAAAAATCACCAAGAACAGAAACCAAATAACAAGCGTTCAAGACACTAAATCTGGCAGGACTTGCTGGTAGGAGTATTTCCCAACAGCATGGATACACACACACACACACACACACACACACACACACACACACACACACACAGTGTAATTTTAAAAATTTAAGCCTGAATTCAAACTACATCAAAGGAGCCAAATCTGGCCCACCACCTGTGTGTATCTTAATAAAGTTTTATTAGTACACAATGCCATCCACTTATTCACATGCTGTCTGTGGTTGCCTGCTATTATAATGGCAAAGATGAATATTTTCACAGTGACTGCATGGCCTACAAAGCTGAAAACATTTACTACTTGGCCCTTTACAGGAAGAGCTTGCCAATGCCTGCCTTTGAGCATCATCCATAAAACTTCAGCAGTTGTAGAAGAGGTTGATACCAGATAGCATGGGAAGCAAAACTGAGTCCTCCTCCCTCCAAACAATATTCAGGGCCATATGACCTGGCATCGGAGCTCTGGTGTTCGAAGCTTTTTTTCCCTGTGCTCTTCACTGGCCTGGTGATTTTATCCCACTCTACAGATGAGAAAACCGATGCTCAGAAAGGTCCCCAGGAGAGTCAGCTGGGAAGCCAGCATTGGCCACAGGGCTGCCTCTTTACCGAAGGAGATGCCAGACGTTTGCACTTACTGTAGTATAGATGGCTTTCTCCAATGACTGAGGGTTGACTGGAAGGCTCTGCGCACCATTCTCTGACCTCTTTTTTTTTAAGGGAAATAAAACTAGTAGCATGGAGAGTGATTTTTATTTGTTTGGGGTTTTTATTTTTAGGGGCTGAGAACATCAGGATTGGGTGGCTACATCAAGCAAGGATTTTTTTTTTCATTTATTGCCTCTTTATTTTATTTATTTATTTTTGTTTTTTATTTTTTATTTATTCTTTTTAAAGATTCATTTATTTATTTTGCACACAGCATGTATGATT